ACAGGAAGGCATATGTAGATTTTTTTTCTTTCAGACATTCTTGATTCCTACTACACAGGACATACATTCCAGAAATCATGTTACTCTTTGATGGGGTTTCTAAGGCATCGCTGCTGTGCTGGATCACTGTTAGACGTCGCCATGCAGATCCAGAAACACATGAAGAGTGGCAGACAATTACTGTTTCAGCAAGAGACGGACACTGGACAGCAGAAGTCAGGGTGTTGATTACTGAAGTCGAGATGACCATCCTGCGAGTTGTTTCCTTTAGCTGGGGTTCCAGTACCCACAAGCCACCTCTCTTCCCTTGGAGTCCAGCAGCTCTCTTCTCCCCAGCGGAGCCAGCCTAATACTTGTGTGCAGGCTTAATGCCGGGAAGGAGGGTCAGCTCTACCCATACATAATCACTGTTTTATGGCTTTCACTCATTCCTGAGGTGTTAATGCAGATCAAATGGGAAACACTCGAGAAAGAACCCTTGCAGCTACCGCACAGCCTAGCTCTCCCGGCTCAATCGTTAATTCTTATTGTAAGATCTAACGGTAATTTCGTTTGCTCTCTTAATGCCTTGCAGTTCTCCCAGTGGCCCTTGCATATCCTTTCTCAAATTCCCATCTTGATCAATTGTTTGCAAATAATTAAGCTTTTAAGAGATAATGGCGTGAGGCTAATGTACACAACAAAGGTGAGGCCTCCTGTCCCTGTCTATCGGAATGGTCAAATTTGCTCTGATATCCCCAAGTGATTAGGTTGATTGCTGTATCTGGCAAGGGCCATCCGTCTTTCCTTCACAAGAACCTCCTGATCTCTCTTAAATTAGTGTCCTTGCCATTCAGGTGCAATAATAGCAGAGGTGTTCAGGGGAATGGCAAGGAGTGACCTAGCCCCTTAGTCGCAATGGTTTGGAATGAAATTCCCATTTTCTTCCTAAAATGGCACTTGTCTTTATCTCTTTTGTAAAATGATGTCTACCTTTGCCCATCTGATGGCCTCACTGGCCCTGGGCGGAATGCACTGGGGGCTTTGAATGTTTGTAGAGCAGCCTTGCCTGTGGCATGTTGGTTTTTTGCCTTTTTTTTTTTTTTAAGTCTACAAAGGAATAGCTCTTACTGTCCACAGAAAGCTTACTGGTAAAGATGCATAGGGTTTAAGATATTTAAACATACTGGATTTCAGTTAAAAAGCCAACTTCTTTGTGAATTTTTGTCTGGCTGTAGATTAGGTACCTGAAGTCATGGCTTTCATGTAATACTAGTAATTATAGATTTTTTTCCCAGGGAATTGAAGGTTTGTGGAACCCCCAAGGCCAAGGACTAGGAGGAAGAAAAAAACACTATGCAGTTGACCTGCCCCAGACAAGGGTGTAGGAATTTTGTCGATACCCTTTTCCCCCTGTTAACAATGACCAGATTACTGTGACATTTAATCTTGTCCAGGCTTATTCATTTTTATTAAAAAATATATATCCTGAACAACTGTAAATGGTTTAATGGAGACAGAGTGCTGGGTCTCCATAGCTTGAGGCTGCCTAGCAATTATGCTGCATGAAATTAGACACAGTTTGTTCCAATTACTTAAAATCAGATCACATGAAAAGTGACAGAGGGGAAAAAAGGGTAGAACTTTCTCATTTTATGATATTTAAATTATGAAATCAGAAACTGCAGGATGTGAAAAACAATCTAAATCTGCACTGAAACTTTGAGGGCCATCTGATTGCTCTTTGAAGCTGTAATGATTCAGGTAATTTTAATGATCCAAAGAGAATTTTTCTGACACCACTTGCATAAATAAAATGTGAATTCCATTTGCTTTGTAAGACTAGATCTAAAACTTGCTCAAAAACAGGCATGCAGAAATATTCTTGAAAACACAGCACAAATAAATGACTGTGACAATTCTCAATTTTCAAAGTAACTAAAGGTAAGTGGCATAAATATTAATTTTTATCCAGTTCTGGTCATACTATTAAGATACAACTAACAATACAGAACAGCGGTATTGCCATCCAGCTATAGTAAAGAGAGACTATTGACATGTTTGTTAATTCTACTGAAAATCACTGAAAGAGATTTTCATAGGAGCCATAAAACTATACGAAAATTACAGAAAATGTTCCAGATTGGAAACCACTTGTGTACATCGGTCTACCACTTTATATGGCAAATACAGTACATTTTCACTTAACGTCATCAATAGGTTCTTAACCTTTCATCAAAATAAAGCATACCGAAACCAATTTTACTATCGGCTGATGATGTAAACAAGACTCAAGTTCCCACAGCATCTCATCAACGTTGTAACAAGATGACACTGAGAGAAACGACTTCATCCAGGGACCTGCTTAGTGCCAATAGCTGGATGCTTAGATTTCCATATTTCAAAATCAGGCTTATATTCCGTAAGAATTGCTAGCCTGGGTAACCTTTAACTTTGATGGCTCTTAGATAACAAAATTGAGAATTAGAAAAGCTGTTCCTTGTTCAAAGTCTCAGTGAGTGGCAGTGTAACATACAATCTGATAGGTTCATGGGCACCTAAGTACAATTCTTCAACTAGTGGTGACATGGAACTACTATATACCCACTTTAATTCTATTCATCGGATAAGAGATTCATTTGCTTGCATTGTGTGGCAAGCCTTTATGCTGTGGGAGGTATGTTTTAAACCTTGGCGTCGAGGATTGCTCTTAGCCCAGAGGATTGCTCTTAGCCCAGTATCCAATCATGAGCTTTCTGCCTGGATGATTGGCACTATGTTGAGTAGGAAGATTGTCACATGATCTTAGCCTATTATGAGGCTTATATACTTTTATTTGAAAAGAGTGGGTTGACTCACTCTTAGGAGTGAAGTAAGGAAAGTGGTGTTATGGATCCCAAATTGCATTGTTTATTCCTCTTGTGGGCTTTGAAAAATTTTTATTGTACCTTTTGAGGTTGCATCTGAGTGACTATCCCTTTATTTCACAACTATTTACTGATTTTCTGTTCTGCTCGTCTGGGATTTGAGAATGGTGAACAACAAAGGCACGGGCTTTGGAGCTGCTAAATGAGTGGGCAGAGACACACCAAGGAAACAGGTAGTCAGAACAAGTGTTTGAGGGAGCAGTGCTTGCTGTTAAGGAAGAAGGAAAAGACTGGTGTGAGAGTCATAAGGTGGGCAGGTGGAGAGTGGAGTGGGTAAGGCTGGGCATTTGAGTTGAGACACAAAGGTGACATTGGAGCAGGGACCTGAGTGGTAGGGACAAGCTTGAGTGTTGAAAGGATAGAAAGGAGGGTTGAGGTGGGGCTGAGGAGAAGGCCACCAAGGCCGAGAGGTGGGCAGGGCTGGGGAGTGGAGGGCCTAGCAAGCCCTGGTAAGCAGTCTGAAGGCTTGGGGACAGGGGGCAGGGGCCAGGAGTAGAGATCACATCCCTCTTTCATGGTGAAGCTTAGACCCTGGAAGGGAAACAGGAAATATCGCTGAGTGGTATGGCCGCTGACCATCTCTTCCCCTGGTCAGTATCCTCACCTGTAAAACAGGAGGGACAATCGATTCCATTTATGTCCCCCAAAGGGATATAACGGGGATTAGTTACCATCTTGTCTCTAATATACTTGGAGCTCTTTAGAGAAAGGAACTATATTCCATGAAAGCAAAGCCTTATTCTAATTGTGTATTTATTGATTAAGTGACAATCAAAGACAATGCTTATGGGAAAAATTGCTACATCTCTGCCCTCCGCCAACGAATCCCAGGTGTATAGATAGAGAACATATTCAAAGGTGCATATAAGAGCTTTAAAGTGGTCATTAACGAGCCTTCTTAGCATCTAATCAGACATTATTAATGAGATTAAAAGCTATGTTAATTAACATTCAATAGACCAGAATTCAGTTTCCTGTGGCACAGACAGTTAAATTGAGAGTTAGGGGTGCCCTTTCCCACCCGTAAGAGAATAGGCTGTTGACAATCAGAACAGTTTTTATCTCGGGACAGTTTACTAGAATGCAGTGTTTCAAACTGGGCAATGTCGCCATAGATGCACACCGTGTCCTCAGCTCCTGCCCCAGGCTGTAGGAACGTATATTTCCGATTCAGATATAGTTGATTATTGAGCAAAACGTATTTGTGCCCAAACTCATTTCAGTAGAATTCCAAACATTCTTACAAAAAGGTACGGATTTCGCTTTATTATCTAATCCTGTAATGCTTTTTTATCCTGTTTTATGAGGAGCATAGCTGGGCTTGTTCATAGCATGCAAACTATGCTGGTCTTTGACCTTATATTGGCCTGTGTTCAGAATCCCAGCATGTGTTGACATTCAGATAGGGAAACAAACTTTGGTTGAAGTGAGTTTGTTTGTGCTTCTCAGAATAGCTCAGAGGAACAGTGGATTAAAAACGCACCCACTTTAATTTTGATATTTACATCCAGCAATATGGTATTTGGAGGGAGACTGTCATGCTATCAAAGTGCTTAGTTGCTGGAGGCCTTAGCTGAGACGGTTGGTCCAAAAGGTTCTGCTTTGGGAGTCCATGGTTCTAATAAAAATATTCCATCAAGGCGTGTACACTTGTGTATGGTCCAAAGGGCTTGTCTTGATTTTTATCCTATAAAATACAGTGAAGACCATACTGAACTCTCCATGTTTGCAGCAAATAAACCTGTTAAAGGATAAACTCAGTATCAAGGTTCTGCAAGTTTCCTAAGGAGCTCTTTATACACTTCACTAATCTTTGTAATTGGCTGTCTTTTACTGCCATTAATTAGATGATGTAGTATTCCATTAATAAGAGTGACACACCTCAGCATTTTTACCTTTAATTAGACTTCGCTAGACACTTAGGTTATTGACAAATAGCCTAAATATTGCTTGACGTACACGTCTCCTGTTTAAAGAGCATATCTGTGTATCATTGAATTCCTGGCCCCTGCCGTGGCACCCGGCATGGGATGTGCACAACCTTCTCTGCCCACAGCACACGCGCACACACCTGTCTGTTTTGTTCTCTTCCAGCACCCTTACCCTTCTGAAGAACAGAAAAAGCAGTTGGCACAAGACACGGGACTCACCATCCTTCAAGTGAACAATTGGTAAGTCATTTGGTTTTGTGTTTGCACACAATCTGCTTCCCCCTCTGGCGACCTGCAGCTCAGGTTTTGCATGAAGAAGACACACCCAGGTCAGCTGTTTTCCCTGGTGGCTTGTCTGATCCAAAAGTGAAAACAAGCTTCGGAGTGATGGGTGAGAATCTCTGCAAATATGGAAAAGAAAGCAATGCATAGCTCCCCCCTCCTTTATTAACCGTCACTTGCTAGGCATCGGCTAAGTCAGTGTTGAATTCACCTTCACGATGGCTCTGTGAGCGTATCCCTCTCTATGGCTCCCTTCGCCCCCCTTTTCAGGGAAATCGATTGAAAGAGTAAAACCATCCTATTTTCTATGAAACAAGAAAATCCACCATCACATACCGATCAGGTTTTCAATTCATTGAATAACTAAATTTAGTTAGATTTTGTTAGGGCTGTGCATTCAAGGGACACCCCCCCCCTTTTTCCCCCCTCTTATCTCCTGTCTTTGGAAAAGGAGAAATTACTTGTTTCTACTTTGAAGCTGTTCAAAACCTGATGCGCCTCAGAACTGTTTCTAAATAAATGTGTAAATTCCCGATGTGGGGAGAAGCTGAGATTATGTACCAAGAATCAGCCAACAATATTCTGGCTTAGTGTGTGGTGTACGCAGCGAGGCTTTGAGAGAGTAGGATTTATTACCCTTTGTGAGTGTGCTGAAAGCCAGGCTCCCATCGTCACCCAGAGCTAGTGTCATATTTGAAGGGTATTGAAACCCAATATCCTCTGAAACGAAGTGTATCTAATTAATTGTCCTAATATTTTTAGATTAGTGTTTATGATGGGGGAAACCTTATCCTCTTTGAAGTAAAATCCAGAAAAGGCCCAAAGCCTGGTTGGGGAAAGCAGAGGGCTGGGAGTGCCAGTTTGCAGACAGAAGTGTTTCTTTCTGTTCAATAAGTGTCAAAGATTAATATTGCTGAATCTCTGATTACATGGCCTAATCCATTTTGGTGAATAAATTCGTTCTTGATGTCCATTGCACCTCTATTAACAGACCCTTCTCTCTGTTAGAGAGCCTGGGAGCCTTTGGGAGAGATTTCAGATATATTAAACTCCATTACAGAGAATGTGATTTCTGTCAATATAATTCCATGTATTCTTCAATTTAGTATTTTAGAGATAACAAGCTCCTTACAATATATTTGCCTTTGGAGGATTAATTTACAAAGTGCACTATCTTCAAGACACAGACAGACTCACATGAGCTGTGCTTGTCAGGGTTATCAATTTCTCTGACCTCACTGCAGCTTGGGAGATCAATTTTTTGCAGCCCTTTTAGCCAAGTGGTTAGGGAACCAACAGAAGACACACTGTACCGAGATGTGTTGCTAGGAGTTGTGTTGCTGCTGAGGTTTTTTGGTTGGTTTGTTTTTACCTGCTCTTGTGTATAAATTTTCAAGCCTGTTGATAGTATGTATTTGAATGTAGTCTTTCAACTTGTTTTGGAATTTAATATAAGGTAGACCATCACTTTTGCATGCACACCTAAATTCATATATAGTTTCCAGGTTAAGCTGATGAGGAAGCAATTTTAATACAATGGAGGCTGCATAAATATCATATTTCCCTGGGAAACGTTCCCATTCAAGGGCCAAGGAGTGGCAGGGCGAGCTCTAATTAGAGAAGGCAAAACTCTGCCATTCAGGGATCTATCACACATGCCATCTCTCTTCCTTCTCGGTGTTGCTAGCAAACTTCATCCATAAACACACATTGTTACCAGAGACTAAATTCCAAGACAAGTTGCTTTCTACAGGTGGACAGACTTATGGCTATTCCTGTAGACGCAGGGGCAGGCAGGCATTCTCGCGACACCTCGCCACATGCAATTGTTATTTCCTTAGGTTCTAGGCACAGTGATCACAATCTGACTGCTTCAGTGTTGCAATTAGAAAGGGGGGACAGGATCTTAAAAACATGACGCTACATAACATATGATAATTTTTCAAAGTATATGTAGACTTTACCCTAAACTCCATCCTGCTACTCAATTCTGCACAGGTACATAACTTAATCACTTTGACTTAGCTCCTCGGGACATGAGCACAGGTCTGATCCCAAGTGGCCCGGTGTCATGTGCACTTCTACACGGAGTTAGCAGTGACTTTTGCTTGCACTTCATTGCTTCGGATTTGGCAACTGTTCCAACTCTTCTAACAACTTGGTTTGTGGTAGAGAATTCCCCTCAGCTAACTCAACGTTATAAGAGATATTGCTTCTCTTATGTCGGGTGAATAATGACATTCCCATGTTTGATTTGAGTTTTTAACGGCTTATTAATTCCACCCACGCTTTCTGTTGAGGAGATAATAGATTTCTTTTTATTTAGGGTTTGGGTAGGAAATATGCTGCAAAAAAACTTGGGATAACCCAGATGATAGGATTACGTGAAGACTAAATAGGAGCATAACCACTGAAGTAAAATGGCTTTCATTTTACTCTATCATAATACAAATCACACCAAGCTTTTCTGAGCGCTTGTAAACATTTTTCCTGTATTGAGCATCAAGCTCAAGTTATTTCCTCCGGGAAATAACAATTTTTGAAAAGAATCTTCATTCCCTTTCACTTCATTTAGCCACAACATTTAAAAATTTGTCTTCCTTCCTGGATTTCTTAAAACTTGTTAACACACATGTACATTCTGTACAAACTATGAGTCACCGTTGAAGAGATTTAATAAAATGCTGAAGGGCAGGTTGGGTGCAGATCAGTCATCATTATTGGCAGCAACATGATGTATGAAAACACACAGTCTGAAAGTGAAAAATATAAACGCATGTCTGGTTGTTAGCTTGTCATAGAAACCCTGGCCAATGCAGCCATAAGTTAGGTTTTAACTGAAAAATGAGATGAAAAAAAGTTGGGTGCGTTGTAATGGTTCTTTCATCTCATTGCTGACCTGATTCTACGTTTATTTAACTGACATAGGTGATATATACTATCGGCCTTGGCTAACTAAGGTCGAAGCGTAGGGTGTTTGGGGGATGAAGAGAACAGAGATAATTTCAACAGTAACCTAAATATAAAATGAGACAGATTTGATTAAGAGAAAGTTTGAATTAAAAGGACTAGCTGTTATAATTTTTATATTGGGTTTACCTGCCAGAGTGAAAACAGGGAGGAGGAACCTGAAAATGACTGGTATTAGTACTTATAGGAATTGGGACCTAGGATGGAATGTGAAATGTATTAAATTTATTAGGTGAGACATCATGGGACAAGTCTGTGCCAATAATTTTTTTTGAGAATTCAGACAATAATGCAAATAATTTGGGTTAAAATATGTTTTTACCTAAATTATCTAAGTATTTGGGGTAACTGCATGGTTTTTAAATATCAACTTCCATAACTAATTGCCTAAATATTTCCATCTAGCATGCTGTGATACACTTACACTTGAAGCATACTAATTTTTGAAATATAGTATATGCTATAAATTTGTGTATTCTTCTTTCTTTGCTGCCTCACTTCCCATTATGGTTTGATCCAAAAATGATAAATAATAGCATCTGGGGTTTTGTCTCTTTGTTTTTCCATTGTTGTTGTGTTGTATTAGCAGTGAAAACGTGTTACTCATATGTTGAATATTGTAATCATTTAAACAGAAACTTCTTAAAATTTGAGATTAGATGGTTGTTTGAGTCTTTAACTATTTAGGTAGAACTTTAAAGAAAACACATACGTATCACCAGATAAGGACCGGGCCAGCTGTGGGTCTGCTTTGGCCGGCCTGTAGTGTGTGGGTTCTTGACTTTGTGCAGGAAAGATTGCATAGTACAAGCCCAGGTGATTTTGAGAGCATGTTTATTACAGGTGGGGGCAGTGAAACAAAGGAAGGACTTAGGGTAGAAGAAGCAACAGGAGAGAGCCACACACACACACACACACACACACACTCCACACACATGCACAGTTAACACTTGGTTCTTTTTTCTTCAGACCAACTTTATTTCTTTATGTCGAGAATGTGAGTGTAGAATTGTCAAATGAAAACTGCCTTATATGTGTCCACAGCAGTGTTGTAGACCTGGGAATTGCGCGTGATGAAAACGTGTGCCTGTGATTGTAACTTATTTGCCGGATGCCTCAGCAGAGTTCTAGCCGAGGGTGCGCTGAATACATTTTACATTTCTTTGTTTACTACTTCTCGTCCCAACATTTTCCCATTAAGGCTAAAGTAAGATGAATATTCCTTTACCCTCTAAGAAGGCAATACAGATTTTAGGGTGCAAGTCATACAATGTATGTGAAACACAGGATGTATGTGGAGAGAAAAAACACTGTCCAGCAGTCGGGTGCATACAATCCCGGGAGCATCCTGTCACCAAGGTGACACTTCATAGAAGTATCTCAGTGCCACCGGTCACAGGTTGAGTACATGCACCAGAGTTTCCTAGTTGCTTCATTTATTGCCTGCAAAACTGCAAAGCATTCAGGCATCACTTCCCATTCATTCCTAGTTGGGGGGAAATGTATGTTATCCCTAGAGATTTATGCCCCTGGCAGGTAAAAATGTAAACGTACTTTTTTAAAAATAGGATCTCCCTTATTATTATAAACAGATTCAACTGGTAAAGGTCAGGTTTCTTCCTGAGTTATGGTAATCATGGAGCAAATACTTTTATAAGTAATCAAAGATCCTATAAATATAGGTACCTGCACAGATGTAAATGTTAAAACATTCACAAATTATCCTTTCAACTTCTGTGATCTAAAAATCAATAGGGGGTCATAGGGTTTCATAGAATTGCTCTGTTTTTTCTCCCAACGTAATTTAATAATACATTTTACAGATGTTGTTTAAACATTAGCCACAGATTGTTTTGTCAATAAAACTAAACAGAGGCATGACACAAAAGCAGGAGAAACAGATGTAAAAGGAACAGGGCACCGTGCAAGGGGTACTGGGCCATTCGTTTGTTATTCGGCTACAGAATGAAAGTGCAGGGTGTATGGGT